GCAGAGGGTTGCTCGAGGGCAAACCTTGAAACCAGAATTACAATGGGGAAACGCAAAATCGACAAAACCTTGTCACCAGAATTATAATGGCGGAACGCACCGCGCACACCAAAAATGTACGTTTCACCACACGTTCGCGCGATCGACACGCACGATCTCCGCAGAGGGTTGCTCACGGACAAACGCGATTCGCGTCTCACCACACGCGCGCGCGATCGATGGCCACGATTCCACGAGAGGGTTGCGTTTCGTAAGACCTGCTCGCACCGCCCCGCCGCCTAAAGAGAAGAATAAAGAAGAAGTTGGGTAGGTGAAGTTGGGTAGGTGTCTTAAGGAAGATGTCTACACCTACCTATCTTCACCTACCTATCTTCACCTACCTATCTACACCTACCTACCTACACCTACCTGTCTATACCCACTTATCAATACCTACCTATCAATATCTACTTCTGATGTACTTTGATATTGTTGATCTGATACTTCTACTTCATATGTTATGTTGTGATGTGATATTATTTTATCACATGATATGAGATGATATGATCTGACATTGATGTGATGTGATATGATATTAAAACATGATATGATATGATATGTTATGACATTGATGTGATGTGATATGATATTATAACCTGATATGATATAATATGATATGATATGAGATTAATAACCTATGAGGTGATGATTAGATGATGATGTTGTGAGGGTGAAGTAGGAGAAAGTTAGTAAAGAATATGAAGTAAGGAAGGTGAAGTAGGATAAAGAGAGTCAGGAAGAGAGAGTGGGGAAGATGAAGTAAGAGAAAGAGAGTAAGGAAGAGAGAGTGGGGAAGATGAAGTAAGAGAAAGAGATTAAGGAAGATGAAATAGGCAGCAGTGCTTAAGGAAAAACCCTTCGCAGGTGCTTTCGGGAAAAACTTGCAATCTTCTACACAAACGGTACGCCTCACCAAACCTGCGCCGAACCGACTCGCCCCCCCCAGTATTTGCGCAGCTTCGCCGCCACAATGCTGAGGACCTGCCCCCCAGGGATTTGGCAGGGCCGCCAGGCGCCGGGCTTTTGGCACCCCAAGGCCAAGGCGCCCGCTTCGGTCGCCGTCGTCGTCGGAGGTCGAGGAATGGAGGGAATGGGCAGTTTTCCATGGGTGCAACGGGTGAGAATTGGAAGAGGTGCACCCCACAAGTGACCTGAAGGGGTGGGGTGGAAGCTGGACAAGTGCTTTGGATGCATAAAGCAGGGATAGATCATATAAAAGTAGAAAACAGTGTGTGTGTGTGACATTCGGAGCTGAAAGCAAGTGTGTGTGTGTCTGTGACATTCGGAGCTGAAAGCAAGCAAACAGAATGGAAGGTCAACTGAGATATGGTCCAGTGTTGGAATTTCAGCACACCCATGAGTCCATGTTTATTGACCCGTTTATTGTTTTGTCGGCGGTTGAATTCGGATCACATGAGTCACATGACACATGACCGCTCCATCAATTTATTCGGTTCCGGCACGTCTTGATGCAATGGATGACCACTGTGCTGACCGTCTGTAGCGCTACTTGTGCCGTTTGATGTGCTGCCACCGGCGCCGCGGAGACCGTTGAAGCCGAACGGATGTCGGGTCCCAGAAGTCCACCGCACCGACATCACAGGGTCCGAAGTCGGTCCCTATTCTTCAGGGATGTACACTTCCCAGATGCCACCCTGGTACCCTCATATATACCCTCAGATGGAGGGGTTTGGGGTCAAGGGTTGTTTGGAGCATTTGGGTTCTAGGATGTTGTCATGATTGCTGACATCCCTTCTAACATCCTCAGGCTCAAGCGGGTGGATGCGGGAAACGAACTAATTCCCCCCCCGCGCCACGCTTGCCCTCTCAAACACATGCGGACGTATACCTGTTTTGCTGCACAGGCGAAGCCGAGGCACAACTCGGACTAGGAAAGGCAACGTGACTCGGCAGGGCAGGGTCGTGCGGGGATGTCCGGCGCATGGCTGGGGGAAGGATGGTCGGAAAAAGGCAGAAGCAACAAGAGTCACAAGAGCCTTTTGACCAGAATTCACAAGACCCCGTGATACAAAGGATGCTGGGTGCAAGGGCACTTGTTGAATATAAACAAGCTTTACACTGATTGGGGACCGGGCATTGATAGAAGGATTTCAGGGGCCTTTTCACAACAACCACCTGATGGAGCCTGTGTTTTATGTTTGTTTCGTAGCATGTTGGAGTGTACTAGTAAAATCGTTGTCAAGGCTGACATGGATTGGGCATACGGAAATTGACCAGCCGTCACGGAAGGCCCAGAAAGTGAGTTGGTCCATGTTGGTCCCCAAACTCACCGCTGATTTCAATGGTATGTGAACAGATGTTTCAGAATTTCACCGAAGATCACCTGAGGGGTTCGGCCCTTGTGAGGATCGAACAGCGTTTCATTGTCGGCAAGCCATGGCACGTGCCCAGATGTCAAGATCATCTCCTCGAGCCCTAGCTGTCATGGATATGGAACCAACATGAGCCAACAAAACGGTATAGATCCCCCCAAAATTTATCCATTCCAAAAACCAAATGCACCAAGTTGAGCTTGTGAAAGAAAACACACATAAACACACACACACACACACATTTTAAAGAAAAGGTCGGTTACCATGGTCGGCTGCATCTCCGGTCGACTCGGCGGCATCTCCGAGGTGCTCGACTCACTCCCACTCGTCCGGTCGATCTGAGAGAAGCGACGTCCTGGCCATTGGCATGCGAGTTTGCCGAAAGATTTGGTGCTTTAGCTAAGTCATGCTAAGTACTGTACAAGTCTGGCGTCCAAAGCTTTATAAAGGCTCCTTTTTCCATGTCGAGGTGGTTTTTGAGACCCATCCAGTGAGTGGATGTGACCGGGGCACCTGTCTTCCTCCATTAAGCACCCCTTTTTGGATTTTTGGGGAAGTGCTGGTACAAAAATTCTATAGGTCAAGAACCGCAAAGGGAAGTGGAATGAAGTTGGTACTTATTCATTATAGCCTTGATTTTGGTCTAGTTCCATGCGGTTCCATAGGTACGTGTTGATCCGTCATCAACCACAGAGGATCTGTTCACAGAGTTTTTGCCGAGCTGAACTGCACCGTAAGCCACTCATGATCACAGCTCAAGCGTCGTTCTTCTTTGCCAAAGACGTGATATGCCGCCCCTCCAGGTCAGGTCAGCTGACGTTGACCACAAAAAATAGAAAATCACCAGGAGCCACGAAGGGGTAGTATCCATGGAGGTAGTCAGGGTGGCCAGCTACTCCACTCACTGGATGGGACTAGAAACCACCTGGGACCACCATGATGTGACTCGGGACTGAAGGTGACTCAGGACCAGGCGACCTGGACCGACTGGTCAAAATGGGGGACATGTTACAGCAGGACTAGAGGGGTGGATCGGTCGTTTGCACGCCGTTGGGTGGTGCAGGATGGCTTGAGCAAAGCTGTACCGTAAAACGTTATTTATGTCTCAACCCGTCCTCCGATGTAAAAAAGACATGTCCAAGCAAAGTACTCCATGTATTGAGTGTATATATGGCATAGTTGATTGAAAGAAGGTCTTTCTGCAACAGCAAAAATGTCCAGTCCCAGACAGGTCGCGTTTGGGCGAGATCTGTTAGCCGCAGAACGTCCTGGCCGGAGCTTCTTGGGCTTCGACCTACACGTCTCACTTGAGCGAGCTGCTCTTTTCATTGAACCCCCCCAGTTGATGAGAAGAAAGATCCAGCAGAGCTAGCAGCTGTTCCATTGCAGGCAACGGCTTCGAGTCGAAGGGGTTGCTGGACCAGATGTGCTGGAGACCTGATGAGAATTCAAGACCTCTTCAAAATCTAAGAAATCGAAATATGCAGGAAGCTCACTTTTAGTTGAACACCCATGCCCATGACTGATGTCTGTTTTGGACTTGTTTGGTGTTATGTTAAATGCAGAAGCTCTTGCTTCCGGCTTCCCACCCATTCTTATTCGACAGCGGCCCAGGCATCAGACCAATTCAGCAGAAACCCGGATCGCACCGACTGCATAGGACTCTTGAGATCCGCACGCCACCGCCGCTGAACCGCGATGGCCGCTGAACCGCGCCGATCGACCCAAACGGCGGTCCCAAAAGAGGGGTCCCGGGCCGGATCGCTTGGGGTCGCCAGGATCGGAGATAGTGTGTGTTTAGGGTGCCCCAATGGCCTGTAAGGAGTCAGTGAAAGATGATTAATATATAATAGATTTATCTTTTTGGGGAAGGTTTGCAACCTCACTATCATCATTCACTATTTCAAAACCCAAATGCATATATGAGACCGGACTGTTCGGTCGATTGTTACATCGGCCGGGCCATCCTTGGGCTTTTTGGGTAACTCGAGACGAACGCCGGGCCTTCCGTATCCATCTCGCTGCTGAACAGAAATGCCCTTCAATGTCGGCGTTTGTATGAATTCCCCAGAAATCCACATACCTTCTCAGAAGGTACGACTGGACCGATTGATTGGACCCGACACTGGCGCTGAAGTGTAACACTTCACGGTACCTCAGAGGGTATGTCTATGTGGATCCGGCTCGTCGTTGCGAACAGCTAGCTAGAGAAGTTGGCCAAGTATTAAAACCATGTGGGAGCAGAGGAAGCTCCGCAGAGCAAGATGTTTCAGCTATTGGTCGGATTCCATTCTAGCAGATCCTTTTTCTGAATCACATCACATGCAGATCTGTGCGTGGCCCTGTGCACCAAGGACCTTCCATGTCGGGTGCGAGACTGGAGACTCAAGAAACCTAACCACGCCGGCGTCAGTGCGCATGTGTGTTGTTCCACTCCAACATCTAAATCAACATCAGATGCGCCAACTCGGGGACGGGTGTGTCTCGTTCTTCAGCTTTGGGGGGTCTAGAAGCTACTAGCTTGGAGGCCATTACTAGTAGCTAGAAGCTACTAGGGTGGGGCTGAACTCTTCCAGTCCAAGTCTCCGGTCGAGTCGGACCCTGATCCCGTTGCTTGTCGGCTCCACGAGTGGTTCCCGAGTCCGGGCGGTGGTCCAGGCCGGGCACCCGTGAAACGGAGGTCTGGTGGAACGAAAACCGAGATTCTTGTGACCGCATCTACCAGAGCCCAGACCACTACCATTCCCAGACACTCCATGTATGGCATATTTACCTACATTGGGGTGGTTTGGGGGGTCAATGTAGGCATATATGGCATACATGGAGTGTCTGGGATTGGTTTGGGCTTTTGAATTTTGATAACGATCAGACCCTGAAGAGCCGGTTCTTGATGTTATGTACCTTGAGGTGCTTGGCAGAGATGGAGGACACAATCAGAATGATAAATAAGAACATCTCCGTGGCAATATCCATTATAAACATGGGGGGTTACATGTTCATAAAACGTTTTAGGCAGTAGATCCCTCAGTGGGTTGGAGAGTCATTTTATAGAGAACTGGTGGTGTTTTGATGCTTGATCTTGCGATTGAGTTCGAAATGTGATGTGGTGCATGTTGGCTTATCAAAGAGTGCATCACAAAACAAGATATTGCTTTGACAGAGATCGTCTTGATCCAAAACCATATTTACAGTGAATTTACAGTTGCGAGAAAATAGGTACAACGATCAAAAACTGTATAAGAGTTCAAAACGTCAATCGAATGTCTCAGAGATCTTGTCTTTAGTAACTTTAGTGTCAGCCCATACTACCACCGGAACAAAGGCAGTGCAAACACGTGGAAATTCATAAGGCAATAACATAAAGGGATAATAGAAATAACACATAGAATAAAACATGTAAATCCATGAATGAAGTTGGACTAACTAACCGATAACCAGATGGCCACAATAAGATCAGAGACTTTTTCTGAAGTCCTGGAGAGACACAAGATGACTACCCAAGAAAGACTGGCCATGCTGAGTTTGCAGCGAGTCTTTGCAGCCGGTGCCGATTTTCTCTTGGCAATGCCCAACATTGCTCACATGAACAACCATCCAAACGGAAGTGATGAATTCTTGGGCCCGCTTGTGGTGGACCTGACACGGGCTTAGGTTGTCTTCCGTCACATCATGGATGCAAACGTTGCATTGAAAACTTTGATTCGAGCATTGAAGTTCATCCAGCGGCACAAAGCTTCGTCAGCTTGGACAAGGTTCCTTCTGGGTGTCAAGAGATGAACTGGCAATTGGTTGCTACAGAAGACGAGTGCCCAGCCCACAGGAAATCATTGAAAGGAGAAGACTCAAACGATCGTCTTTCATAGCCATAAAAGGGCCATACAACTGTCATGGAGAAGCCAGACATAAAAGGTCCGATGGGCCACACAAGGCGTTGGTCCAGACTTCATTGCATGGTGCAAACAAGCAGTAAAACGGGAGTCGCACAAGATGCTGAGGATGTTCCGACACATTAGGAAGCACGTCTGGGAGCTCTCAAAACCAGTGAGACAGCGGCTGTGTGCACGCGAGGAAAAGTTGAGTGCGGAAGAGACCAATGATTTTTACCAATGGTTTCCAAAAGGTGTCCCCCCTGGGCATTTCCCCTCAATTGATGAAGACCCAAATCTGGACTTTGACACCTCGGAGTTGGAATTTGCAGCTGATGAAATTGACAGGTGGGATCAAGCCGCCGATCCGAGTGACATCACAGGCCAGATGGACAATGCTGTGCAATGGGAAGCAATGGTATATCCTGACTATTTGCAGGAGACTGGAGGAGAAGAGCTTGTCCCGATGGATGACTGGGGTGAGGAAGGATGGTATGACGAGGAGGACCCCAATGCTTGGTATGAAGGTGAAGATGAGGGCCACGATGATGGTGAAGGATATGATGACTATAATGACCAATGGTATTCACAGCGCTTCGCGCTCGAAGCCACCCGCGCGGAGTGTGTGCGTCTGACTGTTTCGGTCTGTTTGTCTCGGTCACACGGACGAGCACACCCACGATGTCAATAATGCAGTCTCCCCGGTGTCCACATGCGTTTGCGATGTCGATAACGCATTCGTTCCTGGCCGGCAGAACTGGCATCGCGAACGTTGGATGTGTGCTCAAAGTGTTGTCCCGAGATACTTCGTTGGTTAAGCAGTTCTGGTCTGGCATCTCGCTGGACGATGTCAAATCCAGCTTGACAATTGGGAACAACATATACAAAAATGATATAGCATACCATGTGGTTTTTCAGGACAAATCGATCCAAGTTGAAGTCCGGCAGAATGGGCAAATCGATGGTGACTTGGTTTTTCATCCTTTGTTTTGTGAAACACTGGCAGGCCAAGTTCGAGCAATATATGGCAGAAGGGGTGAGCCATTTCGAGCAGTTTATGTGGGAATTTGGAGGCTCACTTGGATCTTACAAAGGAAGTTCCACGTCTTGAGGTGTGGATTTAATGAGTATCTTGGTCTACTTGGCATTTGATCTTCAAATCCTAGGAGATTTGAGGCTGATGGCCCAGCAGACAAATCCATTCAAGTACAGATATATTTAGCTGAAAGGGGGTGGGACCCCCCATTTTATAGAGCCATTGAGTTCCCAGAGCGACCAGGATACGCAGAGGGAGCCTTGAGGGAGACCAGCTTACCCAGAGGACACCATACTATATCAATAATATATATATATATACCTAGATCTTCGGTCCGGCACTTTTACAGGGTCCGGCGCCGGACTTCCAACTCCGGCGTTTTTCTGGATTTGGTCCGGCACTTTTTCCAAGTCACTTTATGTGGATTCTCAAGGCTTTGCATTCTTCTAAAGGACATCGGATGAAGCCGGTACAGTGCGATGCACCTGTTGAAAGACCTAAGCGGGCGTACCTAAGCTGAAAGAGCATAGGCAAAAATGTACTCCCATTGTTTCAGGATGTCGGGGCGCTGGGATATAGTTCTAGCTGCGCAGGTTTGCAGAGCCTGCTGGACAAGTTTTGGGCTGTGGAACATGTGTTGTTCAGAATCTTAATGTTTTGCAGAGAGTTGTCAAAAAATGGCACGTCGTAACTCCGGCGTAATTTCCCGTAATTCCGGCGTAATTTCCCGTACCTCCGGCGTAATTTCCCGTAACTCCGGCGGCTCTTTTGGACTGAGTCTTCTGCAGGCTTTGGCTTTGACTTTGAACAGTTTTTCAAAGAAGAGTTTTGACAGGAGCCATGAGTTCTGCTACTTTCTTGGGGGGCCGTCCTGAGGCAAGCAGAAACATTAAGAAGCATAAAAACCATGGAGAGCAACCCACTTTGTAAAAAAAACACTTTAGAGACACGGTTGCAGAGAAAGATGAGTTCACTGCCACATGCTCCTTGGTTTCTTCTTGGAAGTGGGCACAGGTTGCTTATATTTTGTGATGGTTCTGCTCTTAGGCCATTCGGAAGATGGGCGAGGGCAATGGGAACGGGAAGGTTCGAGTGTGCTCCAGAAGAACTACTCGCGGCGCAAAGGCAATTTCCTTGTGTATGATCCAACCTTTTATCATCTCTGTTTTTCAGAATCTTGGATCCGGATGTTTTTTCAGGTCTCCGGCGTTTTTTTCGGAATCCGGCGGAAAATTTCGCCGGATTGAGGTCCGGCACTTTTTTCCGCCCAAAGGAGGATCCAGGTATATCATATATGATAATATAATATGTAACATGTACTGTAATTACTAGGCACAAATCCCAAGAGACTTGGGTCTGATGACTTCAAAAGCCTAGGAGGATCCATCCAAAGACAGGTTTATTTAGCGGAAAGGGGGTGGGACCCAAGCTGTAATCTTCTACGGTGATCCATCCAAAGCATGTCCATACATGTCTCCAGCTAAGCCACTCGCAATGTAGGTTAATGGGTATAAGGAAGACCCCCTAGCCGACTTGTCATAGGTATATATTAACTGTCGAGGTCGGTTCAACGATTGAAGAAGTTGGACTGTTCTTTGTCTATTCTTCCATCGCTCCGACAGCTGCCTGACTGACCAGTCTTCCTCCTTCCTGACCGGCGCAAAAGGGTTCCGCGCGCGCGCGTCGAGGATTCCATCGCCGCACGTCGCACGTCGATGACCCTCACCGTCACAGGGCTGGCGATGGCGCTGCGAGCGCCCTTGATGAAGACCAGCCCCAGTGGCCAGCGCAGAGTCCCAGTTGTCGGACTGGCCGGGAAGGGAGTCGCGAGAGTCGGAAGGGGAGGGGAAACCTGGGGGTCGGGGTCGTGTGCGTTGAAACGCGGCGTGGGCGTTGAAAGGCGGCGACAAGTGCGGCGACAGGATTGAGATGCTATAGTGCACTTGAAAAACTTTCCTGCAGGAGTTGGAGATAAGTCCCAACTGACACTTCCGGTCAATACTGGGGGATCCAAACATGAGCCAGATCCAGAAATGCAACAGACTTTGTTTGAAGCAAAAAGGATGTGGAAGGTTGGGGCCTGTAAGAGCGTTTGCCAGGCCTCTCTTCTGAGTTCCGCCTAATTTGTTGGAAATTGCGAGCAATCTTGGAGAGGCTATGGCCTTTTCGCAAATTACGGGGTGGATTTTGTCACGAAGTGAGTGGATGTGACAGGGGCACCCCTATCCTATCCGCAGCCCTACTATGACCTCCGACCAGGACCTCCAGTAGGGGTGTCCTGGAGGGGGCAAGGTGCAGGAAACCCCCGCACCACCGGAGCCTGCAGGTCCTCGGGTCGACATTCGCGGCTCGGTGGAGTGGTGGGACTCCGGACCTCCGGTGGAGGGACGCGTAACGGGACGTCGGGACCGAGGGACCACCCGTGGAGGACGAAAAGAACATCCCTTCACGTTGATGACGTAGTGTTGATTGACATTGATTGGAGAATTGCACCGATGCGGCTATCTATAGAAGCCGGACAACGAACCAACCGGCACAATTATTGAGCTTTTCTGGAGTCGAACATGGCATGTTAGATGTTTCATCATGTTTCTGGGGCCCTGGCTCCGCCCAGGGGTGATCACTTGTGGAGGTGAGGGATGCCCCTCGCCACATGCTCACAGTCAAGAGGTTTTTTGAAGGGCAAGCTGCTCAGTCCTGAGCAAGGGTCACCCAAAAAGATTCCTTTGGAAGAAGGAATGTGTTTTAATCATCAAGAATGATGGGAAAGACCAACGATTCTCTTCCCAAAGTATATAACATGCGTAACATGCGTGTTTGCTTTTGCATTCTGGTATTTGGTTCCTTGGGGCTCAGAAGAAATGCCGTCGACACCATGCCTTCTGGTTGAAATAGCGCCTTTTTCAGTGGCTGTTTCATGCCGGGGATAGCCACAGCTGAAATGCGGAAAAAGGTTTGTGCTAAGGGCAAGCTAGTGTGAGGGGCTTGGGGGCTGACCGAGACCCTGAATTACTGTTATGACCTTGGTTTTGACAGGCTGGGTCGATAGGATGCACCTAGGTCGGGCAGCTCTACAGGGCTGGTGAGGAGTGATTTTGAACCAACCCCCCTTTGCATTCCTTTGCACGCATGGGAAAGGAAGGCAACTCCAAATTCCGGAGATTCTCCCAATGGAAGGAATCCAATGGCCAAGAGATTTCCGTACAAAACCAGAACTTCACTCGTGACTTCACCCGTTTCGCTGCTCGCTTTCGATCGCTCCAGCCTAAAATCCGGCCCTAAGGGGTCGAGAACATGACTGGCAGGCGGGTACGGGACCGCGTACGAACGACGGAGTGTTGTTACACCGGCGGTTCAACTCCCAAACGCGAGGCCGGAACATCATGGAACCATGAGCCTCTGTACGAACCACTCTGAGCCTCCGGCTATAGCAAAGATAAAATCAAACTGTTCAGCCGGCTGATGTCTCCAAGCTACGGTGTCCGTGTTTCGTGTCCTTCGACAGGCACATCCCAAAAGGTGCAGTTCCTTCGGCGTTGTGCCCTTTGCACAACTCGGTGCCAGGAGCCGTGGCAAGGGCACGGACGGCAGACAGCGGTCATCAACCCCATCAAGTTGAAGGCTACCGGATTGATGGGGAGACGCTGTGATGCTCGAAGCTGGGGTGTGAAGGTCGAAGCCTTGGGCGAGGAAGGCTTTGAACTTGGGGAGGTCAAAGCGGCAAAATTGGGGCGGGTCATCCCAGTTGTTGGGTCAAAGGAGCTTGTTGTGAGTTACTGTATGACCCGACTTGGGGAGACATATCGATCATGAAGAAAACAGGCACATGTTGGTTGGCACCTTCGAAAGAAGCACACTCCCTGAACTGGTCATGGAAGCGGAGAATTGTTCTTGGACGACCGTGTTCCTCTACAAAAGGTCAGTTTCATGGATCTTCGATTGTGACTCCGGCAACCCTGGCGCCGGACTTCCCCGGATGGAACAGATGGAAGAGATGCTTGGAGCCCTGAGACCCAAGCCCAGGCCATGGCGATGAAGCTTCGACATCGGCTACACAACTTGGAGTTTAAGCGACCCAACTCCAATCCACAGCGAGGGCCTCCAATCCGCGAGTGACGGGACCAGGACGGACATTTCAAGACTTGGTGCGCTGCGCAAGGAGCGTCCACAGATCCACAGATGGAAACTGGTAGTGGCAGATGGATAGATTCCGGTTTTAGGGCACGAGTTGGGGCAAAAGTTACCAGCCATGATAGTCATGTTCGACAAGTCGAGGTTCCAGAAGATCCCAGATCGTTTGAATCCAATCAACCACCTTCGCTCAAATCCCCCTGATGTCTTTCTTGGATAGAGGAAGAACATGGAAGAACTAGTTTCATGGGATTCGGAATCCTTCGGCGCTTTGAGCACATGCTACACATGTTCATGTTTCTCCTTGTTGCCAAATCATGTAGATGACGAGCCACCGAAGCCAGTTGTGGTTGCCTTCTGAAGCGCTTTGCATACGGCCTTTTCCAGACTTCATAGCAATCCGGCCTGCAAGAGTGTACAAATGGAAAACCACAGTAGATTCCCGGTAGATACATGTATATATAGACACTGATACCAGGCAAACAAACGCACGGTTCAGTAGATCCTTCTTGGCGAGATCATTCGGGGAAGGAGCCCCGCATCACCGCATCACTGAAAACAGAACTCCTCCAAGGTTGGCCCCCCCCGCGCGAAGATGGGGATGACGTTCAACCACGCCTACCGGCGAAGTACGCCCGGCTCGGCTTCTTTCTTCTTCCGCAACGTGACAAACGTGACGTTGGATTCAGGGGTGAGGTCACGGGCAGAAGGCGGTTCCCAGGCCATCCCTCGGACTGGAAGAGATGCCTCATTGACCGATGAGGTATATATACGGTATATAAATAGGCCAAACACGGATGGTCTATTCTTTTTTGGAGCTTGGGGCGGTGCCCTGCAACTGGTCGGGGAGTCCGGCGCTGCTCCAAGAACAGTTCCCAAACGCTCCATGTTTCGTTTGGTTCTGGGTGGTGGGTGTAGGCCATACTGGCACCACCATGGAGTTTCATTCCCAGACACTCCATAGGACTGGCTATATATATATAATATATCTCAGTTGGGGTGTTTGATTCGAAGTCAACGTAGGAACACTCTGCCTGGAAGAGACATGGAAGTGGAACCCCCGCTGCTTGTAGAGGGAAAATGATCTTTTCAAGTTGGTTCCAGGGAAGATCATGTTCATGGTGTCTCTTGAAAGTTATGCACCACCAAGCCAAACACACCAGTTAGTCTTCCAAGGTGTAAAATTTCATACCCAGACACTCCATGGACTGCCATAGGACTGCCGCCCCAGAAAGACCCCCCTGGCTGTATGGCATATATAGCAGTCCCATGGAGTATCTGGGACACATGGTGTGTTTGGCTTCCTCCTACCCCGTCGGACCCCCCCTGGGGACGTCTCTCCGCTTCCGGCACCGTGTTTTTCGGACGACGTGTTTTGGAATCTGTTTCCAATCTGTTTGACACTCTGATTGAAGGGTGTTCAAAGGGATGTTCATGTTTGGCTGCTTGGCATGCTGCAGGCTGTGTTTGCGAATCGCCCGGGCTTGTTCACGGCAGATGTCGCCAGGACTTATTCCGTGCTCTACATCGTAGGCGCGGCGCCTGGAGCGCATCGAGTGGCGCGAGATCGGAGAGATCGGAGTGGGCTGGACGTTTGGGTGTCCTAGAGAGTCAGCAGATCCGGTGTAGGGTAGCCAGGACACCTGGTAGTCCAGGATGCTCCTGGTATGCCGGCAGAGGTGGGTCAGAACCCGAACTAGACTATCCTATAGGTACCCCTGTAGGGTCCTATAAGGTCACTTAACCTTTGTGCGTGTGTTATGTTGACATCCTTTGAGATCTTCAGGGATTTGTCGGTGCTCTGGTAGGTGCAATCGTGGTTACGTGGATACACCTGGATGGCATGGCCCCTTGGATGACCAGTTTCCCCTACAAACAGGTGGTGCCATCATGTGCCATCCACTTTGATGATAATTCCATAGCTGCATATATAGATATATAGCTGCATTGGCCCCCTTTATTTGAAGCGCCCTTATGCAAATATGCAAGTCCTTCACAGGTTGTAGGCGTTAGCAACTCGAAACCTTCCGTCCCGTTCAATGGCGGAGATAAGATCTGCAGGGCTCAAGGTGAGAGAGAGAGAGAGAGAGTCAGAGACCGAGAAGTAGCAATGAGAAGCATGTACATTTAGGACCAAAGCCAATTGAGATGGTCAGGCATCTCAAAAGATCTATAAACCAAGACCTTTGCAACTTGTGTGCTCTCCGTTTGCCCATCCCATCCGATCTCAATGCACGTCTCGCACGCTGCGCCGTGATCCACACGTGCGTGTGACAGTCGGAGCAATTGACAGTCGGAGGCCCCGACAACGTGGTGGGCTTGAAGACGATCTTTTATCATCCCTTCAGTCGCTGGGCCGCATCCTTCGTCCGGCGCTACGACTTGCGGCGCTAAGACCTGCAGATCGTGAGGGGGGCACTAGGCGGACACTAGAACCTCGATCTTTGCTCACTTGAAGAGGTTGGGATATGTGATTTGTATTGATATGTTGGGGTTCTCTTTGGCAGGATGTAGCAGGATGGTTCTTAGGCCTAACATCGATTCAATCCCAAACTGGCTGTTTTCAACTATGGGAGGCATGGCTCTCAGGCCCTGGGGTGGCCCCACATCCTTCCAAATCCCACCGATCAGGTTAGTCACCGTTGGTCCTTAGCGTGTTCTTGCCTCGCCCGAGGGCTCCGAATCCCAGCACCGAATCCACAAGTCGACGGTTGGTGGCTGAAATTGGGAGACTACCCAGGTAGTTGGCAGGTAGTTACTTGTTGGGGTGCTGGTAGAGTTTTTATAGTTTTAATTTAGTTTTCAACTATGATTTTCCTTCAGAGATGTGTTTCAACCTCAGTGTTGGAGTCCAAGATGAACAAAACATGTTGGAGGATCCAGCTCCCTACTTACTCATCCCTACTGACCTACTGGATCAGCGGGGCGAAGATGGGACAACTCTAGACTTGCTTAGCTTGGTGTCAACGATCTTGCTCACCTCGTCACCCCGTGCTTGGAGGACTGGCCAGTGGTCCCGCTGCTCGCCGTTCGAGTGCCGTCCTTTAAGTCGGGTCGACAACTGGTGCATCGGCCAAGACGAAAGCTGATCAACTGGAACGCGGTGCCGTGAACGGTGGACCGGAATGATTGGGTCATACGAAAGACACCACTCAATGAAAAGTTCTGGACCTGGGTCAGACTGAACCTGTAGAGTGCCATGTGGTGCCATGTGGCCACGGATTTTGGCTTTCTGAGCTCCACGCGAGGCTTGCTGCTGCTGGCCTGTCCAGCTGGGGCTGGGCCCCGCCATGTTTGACAGCCGGGCAAGCACGGTGTCGCAGTTCGGACGATGTTCCCTTGAAACAAGTTGAAATGCGAAGGAAATGCCCAGTTTGGCCGCCAAACACTGGTTTGTTCTTTTTTGTTTGCCTATAGATCTGTTTCCACAGGATGTGTGCACTGATCCTTGCTTCACGAGCCATCAGATCTTGGCTGCTTCAACGATGGCAGCGCACCGAGCGTTGGAGTCGATTCATTCGGCGATGGCCGGGGGGGGGAGGCGAGGTGGAAGGCGATGGAGCTGCCCTCATCCAATACCAGTCGAGCTATCACTGGTCGTGTGGTGGATGGGTGCTGGGTCGACGGGCCTTCCGCAGTTGGGGACTAGGCCCCTAGGCATCCCTAGGCCGCATTCCCGACAAGCCTAAAACTTCATCTAAGTGCCGGACTTCTCGCCAACAGACGCATCTCTGATGCAATTCGATTTTTATAGGCTGCTTGGACGGACCAACGGCTGCAGCGTTGCGTGAAAAGCCAGGAACCTGGGTGAACCTCCCCACGTTCGGAAGCACCCGATCTCAATCCAGTGGCATCCATTCCCTACCCTAACGTCGCATCCTCGTGGGGTTTCGGAGGACGAGTTCGGAGAAACACCCGGTGCTCGGTGTCGCCATGACAGATCTTGGCGCATGCCCTCGACTGGGGCGTGGGCTGCGTGTCGGGGCCCGTAGTGGGGGGGGCTGCAACCGATAGGTTTTGCAAGACCGATTGGAGACCGGACTGGGCCGGGGGTGGTTCATGTTTCGGAGGGACCTGTAAGAGGATCCTAGTGGTTTGGCGGCGGAGGGCCGGCATCCATCCTTTTGATTCAAACAGGGAGCACTGGTAGTACCAGATCTCCAGGAAGTTCCCATGAGTTCCCTATAGCCTAAAGCTATAAGCACTTGCTAGGTGTCACCGACCTTTCTTCGACTTTTGAAGCTCGCCGAGCACTTCCAGTCGATCAGATGTCCACCATGCGAAACCCGTTTTTGTTGGAGCCAACCCCTGCCAAACTCCTCTATAGCTAACATCTTTTTCAGCCAGACAACGAGGTGGCTGCCTCTCAGAAATGATGTAACTCTCATTTTTCACTCTTTACTAGGGGGCCTGAAAAACAAAGGTGTTCACATACAAAAAACAGGTTTTTCGCTCAGGAAAACCAGGTTTTTGATGGGCCATGTGGGGCCCCTGGTAGAGGAGCATCTTGTTTGGAGGGGAGCTCCCGCACTGATGCGACACTCAGAGCGAGCGAGCGAATGCGCGGCAGGCGACACTCAGGTGCAGACCACCCGACCAGCGACCAATCTCTCCGTGAAGCTTAAAAGGTCGAAGCAATACCCAAACACTCCATGTATGGAAAATATGTCGATCAGTTGGGGTGGTTTTGGCATATTTGGCATACATGGAGTGCCTGGGATAGGTTGACCTACCCCACGGAATCTAGGACCCCTGAGATGTCTCAACTCATCACGTCAATAGTCCACGGTCCTGGAGCTGGATAGGCGACCCAGTTGTCGGCCCTGAAACGTGCCGCAGAGTCGTGCAGGTTCTGGTTGAACTTCTTAGCTTTGGCCGCTCGGCCACAAAAGCGAAGAAGCGGCGACTTCTAGCAGAACGACCTGGGAAAGCGGTGATGACATAGGATTGTTGTTGATTTGCGGTAGACGTGGTGGGGGTGACGTGTTGGGGGAAGCGTGCCCATAAATATTGCTGACATTGCCTGACTGACTATGGAGTTCACGGTGTTCGACCAAAGTTTGGGACCAGTGAACGCAACATGTTGCTTTGGCGCGGTCTTTGGCAAGCTGGCAAAGAGAGGGAACCTTATAGGCCATCCCGGCATACTTTCGACTGTTTCACCCTTGCGTTTGTAAATCAAGACTATCTTCTTCCAAAAGGGTCGATCTTCATTCGCGCGAGTTCACACAACTTGGGTGACCGACTAAAAAAAACCTGCTGAATTGCTTGGTTAAATGTAATTTCCTCACTTTTCGTTGGTGATTTGTTTGATCAGAAACCGGCGACTTGCTTGTGTTTCTGCTGCTCCCGCACGCGCTTCGCGCGCCAATCCTCTCGCGCGGACCACTGTGGGGGATCTGCGGGGGCTTCCAGTTAGTAGGTGGATGGCCGCTGTGTTGATCGCCACTGCCGTGTGAAGAACTAAGGAACAGTAGATACCACCTAGAGGTGGCTATCTCACCATGGTGGCCAGCACCGACCTGCACCCCTCCAACAGAAATACACCCTGGAAAATGCACATGGAACCTGAAAACCGAGAACACAGCCTTCCTTGCAGGTCCATGCCAAGCCCGGTTCCATGTGGGTCTCTTCAGTCTCTTCTGTTTCCCGGGTGTCAAACCATCATGCCCTCAGTTCTTTCATCTCCCACCTTGGTGGCCACCAACCTCCCTCCACCCCTTCAGCCAAACTCGACGTCATGCCCTCCCCCCCAAAAAGCATCTGCTTCACGCTGGTCACGCATTGGTTCCAGTGGCTCCAGGTGCCACTGGCGAAGATCCTCGGGGATTCCACCGAGGCCGGGCTTGCGGGTGGCGGCTTGTTCACCAACAAGCCTTTTTAATGTATGTGTGTGTTTTTGGATTTGTTGTCAAACAGCTACGGTATTCCATTGTTATCAGATTTGATGTTGTTTGTTTTTTCCTCTTCCCTATAGGGATCCGGTCGTTTGGGGGGTCGAATCGAACTTGAATGATGAGCTGATCCATCAAAGGATTGATGTTTTTGAGTTTTTTTGTGGCAAACCGAGGATGTTTGAATTTTGAATAGTCATCAACCGTCATCAATCCATATCAATGCCCAAACATGCCCAAACACTTGAAGGTCAAGAATTTCCACACTGACAGGTTTGGGGAAGTCTTTGAAGCCAACATGCATGGGTCCTGAAGTGGTTGCGGATGCTTCAATGAAAGTTGCGCCCTCGTTGTTAGAGCCCACAGGGGAGGTGTGCAAGCCTTTGGTCGGCACCCTTGCCGCACAAAGCAACGCCATACTGTGCTTTGTTCACTTCATGAGTTTTCCAGGTGGTTGTTCACTTACGAAAGGCCCGGCGAATCTCGAAAATGGTGTTCGTCCATATTCCGGCTTGCCTATTAATCCAGATCGAGGAGCCACAAGTTGCTTGCAAAGACACCCCAGACACTTCTAGATTCTTGGAAGATATGTGTTGAAAAGGGATCAATGTAGACATACCGTGACATACCTAGATGTTCAAACTATATGCAAATGTTCCGACTTTGGGCTGATGTTATACACAGATGAAAAGTCAGAAGTTTTGCAGTTGAAAGAATTATATAAGCTGTATATATACCATATTAATATGGATTATGGATAAATTTTGGAACTGGCCCCATGTTGCCCGTCGCACTTGTTTTGACCATATGCTTGGTGAAGCAGTGGCACTCACCTGGCATCCCTCTCTGAAAAGATGTATCTCGATAGACACACTCGCAAGCCAGGTGCACATAATGCTTGAGTGTGATGAACAAATAGTATAGATCTTCGTTTGGCAGGTTCTAGTACTAGGGCTGCCGAGTTGTTCTCTTTCTGCACAAGAAGTGCGATGCGTTTTTGTCCACCTGCAGTGTAACAGGCTGGCAGGCAGATCAGTGATTTCTGACTGAAGAGGTGTCCAATCCTCAGCCTTCCAAGACCTTGAAACGAAAGGTTGACCTGTTGTTTGTTGTAGTGCAAATTCCTTAATTAGTAAAACAACACCATGAAATCAATGGTGGTTGGAAGCCTAGGGAAATCCCAGCAAAAAGTTTGAACCATTTGAGTGCCCCAGTCCCGGCTTGCACCTTCCAAGCTCCACATGGCCGCAGGAGCTCGCTGGAAGCATCCACAATGATACGGCTTGGGGGCCACAGACACCTGCGGAGTTCGAGTTGGGGAAAACAGACATCCATATTGGAGTAAGTGAACTCAAATTGGCTTCGAAGAGATATTCATCTATTGTATAACTTCTCAAAAGGCACTTGGACCCTCCATAACAGTGTCTCCTTCCTCACCTTCTGAGAAGGTACGACTGGATCCCTATGGGATATATATTCTGACCTGGTTCTAGAAAGCAAAGTTTATGGCCTCCTCCTCGGTTTAGTTCGGCTGTGCTTGAACACCTTCACTGCATGGCTGAAGGCGTGCCGCTGCCTGGCTAAATGTTCTGAGCACAGTGGCTTATAGACATTAGATGCCACTTGAACATAATAGAACATGTTTAACATAGATTCAGAACATAGAACATGTTCAACTATATAGATTCATCCCAATCGGAGCGACGACACTTCTCAGAAAACATGTCGCGCGAGTTTGAGCAGGGGGAGTGTGTGGGTGGGGTTTGGGTTGTCTTCATTCGTGAAGACTTGTCCCTGACTTTCAGTATGGCCCTCCAAAAAATGTTGACCTGGTTTCGTAGGTGTGGTCTCAAATTTCTTGCTTTGCCCGATGGTTCTTCGGAAAAGTCATTCAGTTTGGCTCTTGAAGTCCCTTGGTGCAAGGCGGTCTCCACCGGGCACGCAAATCGAAATGGACACATGTCCGAGCAAAGGAATCCATTTTGGTTTGAGCTAAGGCTAAGACCCAAGCAGCCGGGACTCGAACCGAATGTCTTAACAACAACTGACCAGGGCCCAGGGTTTGTGAGGTGAAACATGCTGAACGTGTGCTGACCCCAAGCCGTTGGTCACTGGTCCCGGGAGACCCAAATTGTATGGTGTGAAGGTGGATCGTTGAAGAGCTTTGACTCCAAAAAAGGATTTGAGCCTTTTCAAGGAGGCGATGCCAAGAGCGGCATGTGCCCAAGCAGTTGCAGTTCTTTTGCCCGAACGGCCCAGCAGCTTGCGGTCATGATTTGGGACCTCCCCAGCTTGGACCAGTAGCTGGACAGCCGCGGTGCTCAGTTCTTCCAACGTGGCCTTTTCAGTGGGTCTCGGTTTCGAGCGCACACAGCGCACACGGCAAGAAGCAAGATGGTTCCTAGGAAAGAGGGTGAAAGAGGGAAAGCCCCGAGGGTCCAATGAAAAGCATTTTTCGATCATGAAGAGGCGAATATAGAGCTTCTCATTGGAGCTGTTACTTATCGTTTTCCAAACGCGGCGGAACCTACGAGTTTTGTGTTATATAGCTGGAGCGGAAGCACTGGAAGAGCTTCCAGATTCGATGCTTGCTTCTCAAAGGTGATCGAAGGCTCAGAACGTGTGGGATCAGTGAGAAGTTTGTAAGGGCCATGAAAATACCCTAGAGCTCCAACCATTTCCTCAGAAAGTAGTTAGACCCCCGAACCCCACCCCAACCACCTTGTCAGGAGGTGGTCGGAGCCCTACGTAGGGATATAAAGCCAAGACTTGAACAAATCGTCGCCTTTTTGTGGACGATGGCGCACCCCAACCTACAAAGAAACAGATTCTTTGGATCGCCTAAAAAGACACCAGTCGAGAGTCGGGAAGGCCGACCTGAAAGACCCCTGATTTCTCAACCACCTCGGCTGATTGGGAGTCAGATTGCCAGTCCCCCACAGGCCTTGTCTATAGGATGATGGCTGTTTCGGATGGGTTTCTGCGGCAATAAAGTTGCGCTAAGGCACACCAGTGTCTTGGATTTAACTAAACAACAGCCAGCATTGGGTTGCACAGTTGCAGTGGCCGCGCAAGAGACTGGAAGGGCATGTCATACAAGCGCAACTGCGCGAACCAAACGCGAAGGACTTGTGTCTGTGGCACTTCAGAACAACGGTTGCTGCTTGGGCTTTGGCATTGTCCAACATGTTTCTGCAGTGGCGCACTGCGCCAAAACATGCAAAAGATGCAGCGGTCGCTTTTTGCGGGAGCCTGGGTGGAGGCCCACGTCCACCACGACAAGCACCGCCCACGTCCACATCCGAAAGCATCCAAAAACTATGGCTTGACTGACTGGCGGCTTTGAACCTCCTGGCGTCCAACATCGTCCAACACGTCCAAATACTAGTTAGCTTTGCCCGAAGAAATCGAGACGACCGACTCAAAAGAGACCAAACAAGCAGCTTTTTCTTCTGAGGATCGGTGTGTCCAATGAAAAGCAGCTGAACCAGCTACTATACTGTGATTTTTTCACCGCCATGTTTGGTGGAGTTAGGTGAAACAGGTTTTGTCACTCCTGTTTTCAGTTCCTTTGGCTGAGCACGTAGTTTCACAGTCTGGAACATAATGGGGGGCATTCTGTGGAATGTTGGTCCTGACCAACTCCGCTTGAACCAATCTTCGAACAAGCGGCAACGCATCCTGAAATGCTCCGCCTGGCAGGAAATTCCCGAACACAGGAGGTTCCAACATGATGCACTGTTTGATCCTTTATGGCCGGTTTTTTCGCAACCGTCGTCCGATGGTAGGGGGGTCTCTTTCAAACAGGACTTGAGCGGACTCCCAGAGGTTAACACCGACCCTCGACCCAGCGGAACTCCCGTGACCTGGACCCGTGTTTTAGCTAGGGTTTTCGTGGGTAATGTCAGATCCTGGTGAGTATACTGGCAAACTATAATCCAACACCCTGAATAGTGTAAGTGGAAAGAATAATGGGAAGTTTTTTCGCCCAGCGCGTTTCTTTTTAAGAATTGTGTTTTATTCTTCGGGTACTGTTGCCCTTTAAGATCCTTACTGCATTGCTTGACTACTACGACCACCTACTACTACTGCTGCTACTACTACTCCTGCTGCTGCTACTACAACCACTACAACCTACACAACCTGCTACTACTACGACGACGACGACTACTACGCCTACTCCTACTCCGACGACGACGACTACTACTACTACACTACTACTACTACTACTAGTATTTCTACTTCTACTTGTTCTGCTACTTTTACTTCTACTTCTGCTGCTGCTACTGCTGCTACCACTACTGCTACTGCCACCAATGCTGCTAGCTAATTGCTAGTCAGATACCCTTGATTGTTTGCTAGGGGCCATATAGTGTTTTAAGACCAAGCACTAGGGCCCATGGACGCGTCCCATGGACCGTTTTTGGGCTGCAACGTGGATCTTTTTGACATGTCACAAGAGGGTCTGACAGGAAGAGCTGAGGCTGAGGAACGAATATATAATAGTTGTTCCAAGGATTCCAATTAACCACCTGCAGAGTTTTTAGAAGAATTGAATAGATCCGGAGAATCTTGATTCCTTCGAAGGTCACGGGCTTGCTGAACGCGACCTTTGGGAACGCGGTGGAGATGATCGTGGCCATACAGCAGCGAGTCAGCAGAGAGCCGGAGAATCGGCATCCAATGAGGACCAATGGTGGGAAAAGGACCTCTGAATACCAAGTTTTTTAAATTTCGGAAGGTTCGACATGTTTTGATATGGCATTGATGGGACCGTTTGGCTGCCAAACCTGAATGCGGATCCCTGTTTTTCCTCCAACCTCTCGCGCCTCCACGGATGAGTTAACAGTTAACCCGAGTGTTTGGCTCTTCTGCCTGCTCTTCCACCAGCCTTGCGGCTGCTCCTCAGGTCCATTCGCACGAACCTCTTAGACATTGTGAAGGTGTGTCGGGTGGAGATTCGAACCTTTTTTGGGAGGGGAGAGTATGGGGAGAGTATGGCAGGTGGGAGTTTGGGGAACGCGTCCCGTGTTGCACCCGGCGGACATGTGTCAATCCCTTGCCTCGTCCTTGTAGATAAAATGTTTGTATGGTTTATATGGGCTTGTCCTTTTTTAAGGTGTCCAGTTTATGTAGGACTGGGATGTTCGACTTAGGCGAAGCATACCCCGAAGCATACCCCCGAAGCATACCCTGAAGCATACCCTCTGGAAATGCTACTACTTTAGTCTTCACAGTGCGCGAAGCATACCCCGAAGCATACCCCCGAAGCATACCTCCGAAGCATACCCCATAGTCAAACATCCCGGCCCGGGAACCTTAAAAAATATACAAACCCATATATATATATACTTTACATGCCTTGCCTTAGCTACTCAATGTAGATGCCTGAAGGGTGCTTCGCCACAACTGGGTAGTTCTGTTAGTGCTCTCCCACCAAAGGTACTGGGGCATATCAGGCATGTCTTTCTAAGGGGTCTCTATTCGGAAAGAGACTGATTGGAGAAGAAAATCATGAAGCCACAGACTTTTGGGGGGCGATGCCGCACGCATGTTTGCAGGCCAACTAGCAGAACAAATCAATACTATTTTTCGGAATCGGCCATTTTTGGATGACAACAACGTTGGCTTCACGTCCTTTTAAAAAGGTGATTCAAGACTCTTTTATTAGGTAGGCACCAGTCCAATCACCTTCTCACAGGCATGAGAATCCCTACACACTTTCATCCACTTGGACTCCGGGGGAAGGACGCCGGAGGACCTTTAGAGGACGCTTCTTCCGAAGCATGAAACAGGGATGCAGCATGTAAAGGGGGCCACCCCTTTCTGACATTGCTTACGAATTCTGGAGTCTCACCAAACCATGTTTTAGGAGCAAGGACGCTACTAGGGGCTCCTGGCACCGCTACTAGTAACAAGGACGCTTCGATCGGGGCTCCTGGCCGTACTACCCGCTGGACTCCCGCACATTCACAGAAAACCATGAAACGTCCAGCAGCACCGGTCTGTTTTTTGACAAACTTCGTGAGTGTCTGGCAGCCATGCCTCAGGCCAGTTTGTTGGGCTCCGTTCTTTCGAACACCCTGCTAGTGCTGGGGCGCCCGACCGCTGGTCAAGTCGGCTGCGAGGTCGGAGAGAGCTGTTTTTCGAAGGCATTCCCCTCTAAGAGGTGCAGGTACATGAGCACCAGGCCCGTCCCTACCAACTGCTTTGGAGGCATGTTGGCATGTTGCTGCTAAATTTGGCGCATGGACATATAGTTATTTGATATTGTATCACAGCATATATTCTTGCACCTTTGTGCAGCCAGATTGTAGGAGAACGTAGTGCCAGGGTAGCTCTCAGTGGTGACTGTGCCAGCAGGTGTCCTGCAGTAAGCATTCCCCAACACTTTGAACTTGGTCTGGTTCAGTGACTGATTTCTCAACCCCAAGTGATCGGGAGTGGCATCGCCAGTCCCGTCGTGCCAACCCCAGTCCCAATCCGAATCACTTTCATGTTTTGTCCGAAACGCAGGTTGCAGGCTGTCTAGACAGGTCCGGATCCCTCGAAGCTCTCTGGTTTTCGATGCGTCGCTCGCAGCTGCACAGCAGCTGGTCCTTGGAAGCTCGATGACGTCGCGACTCCAGGAATCAGAGACTGGCCCGACAAGGGGTCCAGGTCGACTAGAAAAAGAAGAGTCTGACTATAGGTGACCCGAGTCTATAGGAGTTTCCTTTAACTTCGGTGACTTCGGTGGTGCAAAATATCGGGGTTGGTGCAAATGCAAGTCGTTGGACATAGCGCAGTCTTCGATCCTGAAAGAGCGTGTGCTTGGGATGTTGTTGACCGCTTGGCGTGTCCAAACCCTTTAAAATCAGAAGTCTTTGAATTTGACTGTCGGAGGAGTCCTTGCCTTGCACTCGCAGAAAGCAGAAAGCCTGGAGGACTGTGACGCAAAGATCCAAAGGTGCCGGAAGCTCGAGTGCCGGAGGATGTCTAACGTCCTCGAACGTCTCTTGAAACGTCCAGAAGGCGCTGGAGTGGAAGGGCCCGTCAGTGATTCGGATGAGTGCAACAGCCATACCAAAGCATCGATGGAGAGGATAAGGAGCTGCCCGAGCTTGGTGTCTTTGAGCTTTGGGCCAAGCAGCCAAGCAGTATTTTTCTGACACTGTGATGCATCTATTGCGCGCTGGACGACGTGCTGGGCTCATCCGACGAAGGCGCCCAGCTCCCTATAAGCCCCGTCCTCGGCTACTGCGGCTCCTCTGAGTATACGGCAAGTGCGGCGGTGACCTTCTTCGACGTCCGCGCCTGTGGGTCGGGAGCGGCGGCTGGAACACCACTAACATTGAACGGCCAGATCCACTTCGATTCAAGAGGTAGTTCATTGCCTGGGTCTTCGCCACCGGCACCCCAGCATGACCCGGCCGTCGTTCGTCGTCCTCGTGCGCGCGTGGGATTCCTGGCAGCCCCTTGCCTAGGGTGCATGCACCCGCCAGGGCCACACTGGCTCGCTGTTGTAATTTAAAGGTTTTCGGCTCCAGCGCTCATGGATTCTTTGGTGAAGGCGGATCTGGCCAAGGCCAATTCGAAGGCCGAGGAAGGCGCGCTGCTTTCTGGCGTTAATGGAGTCCTGATCACTCTGGCAACGCACGGGCTCTTGCGTGAGCAACGCATCGAGCCCGAGTATGTGGGAGTCCATTGGGACAACCGCGATGGCTAGTTGTTCACACACGAACGCAGGCCTGCGAGCCATCAATGCCAGTGTGCCGTCAAAGTGTCAGGGACTGACATTGGATGGCAAGATGAGCCACCAACGGATTGCAACAAAGGACCCAGTTTTTGGAGATGTCTGCAAGTCAGGCCTTCGCTGGAAAGTGATAGCACACGAGGCAATGATGGAGTTTCCAAATCTAGCACTCCTGATCCAAGCGGCCATGAACTCTTCTGGTCAACTTGCTCGAGGTGAGCATGAACTCCAGAAATTGCAGAGGATTTTGAATGGCGTGAGCCAAGCCGAGAAGCTAGTTGATCTTCAGTCTATTTTGGTAAACTTTGACTGCAGTACTTGTATTGAATTGTGGTGAAACTCTCGGGGTGTGTTGGTTTCTTAGCCAGGTCTGTTGCGAAATTGTTTGACACCAGCAAAGGAAAGCCGGGAAGACTTTCGAGTGGGCCATGAAATCCAAACCTACCTGCGCCAGTGCAATGCCAGGGATGTTCCGATTTGTCTTGAAGTTTTCGGGGCGAAATCTGATGGAGGAGACCCTAGCCAGGATCAAGGTGATGGCTGCCCCGAGTCGCCAGTTGGGGCTTGACATGTACGAAGTACTGTCGCAAGATCCCAAGCCGTCTAGTGGTGACCAGTTCATCCACTTCAGGCATTCTACCTTGCTTGCAGCCTACACAGGGCCTGAGAAGTTGTTGACACCAGCTGATGTCCGTAAGATGCACAACAAAGACAACAAAGACCAGATTTCAGCAGCAAATAGACTCATTCGTGAGATCCAAAAGCTTGTTCAGAAATTGAGTGACCCCACGGGATGTGCGCCACGGGCGACCTCTCGTCGCTGATTCTTCCCCGTTCGTTTCGGTCGCTGTGGGCTCTCCAGGGTTTCCCCGGCTTGTGCTTCAGCTTCCGTTGGCCCTTCTCCGGGCCCTGGGTTCCAGGCAGGAGTCTCACCTTTCACGTGCGCCACTTGGGCGCCCGTGTACAAAAAAACAAGATGGAACCCACGAACCCGGATGCAAACACATATACGAAACCAACACCCAAACCATTTTTCCCGAAAAAAACATCTGCAGAACTCTATCTCACATCGTCTCATCTACATCTTCACATCGTCTCATCTACATCTTCACCTCTGCACATCCACATTCTCACCTGTATCTCTGCTCACCTTCATATATATATATATTCGCAACTGTACATCTACATCTCTGCTCATCTTCACATCCTCACATCTACATCTCACATCTGTACCTCACATCTACATCTCACATCTGTACCTCTCATCTACATCTCACATCTTCACCTCTCGCTCTTCTTAACTTTCTCTCTTAAGGCCGGGGGCAGTACCGCCGGAGCACCACGAAACGCAACCCTCTTGTCGGACACTCTTGTGGGACACTCTTGTAGATGTAGGAAACACTTGTGGGACATCCTTGCAGGACACTTTGGGAGGACACTTTTGTGGGGCACTCTTGTATGACACTCTCTCGTGGGACACCCTTGCAGGACACTCTTGTGGTACACTCTTGTGCCACAAAAATTTGCACGTCCACACGTTTAACACGCACAACATACTGCGCCTACGAAATGAGACCTCGCCCACCTCAGGGCCCGCACAATGTTCTGCCTGAGTCACGAACAGCGACAATATCATAGCATGTCAGCTTCAAATCAAATGCACCACACCACACGTCCTAGGCATGCATTCGTTCAGTTTTTCCTTTACAAATGCCAAACGTTCAACATTCACAAAATGTTGAACAAATGCTTTTGCCAACAACAAATGTTAAACAAATCCTTTTTGGCATCATCAGAACATGCTTGCATGTAGCGTCAAAACAATGTAATAGCCTGTCAGAATTCCAAACGTTTGGAATGACTTCGACACGTTCTGGGCACACTCCCACCCATAGAATCGCCATTTCAGCTGAGACTTGTCACGAAAACAGAGCTTCAATGCAACGCACTGAAACGCAAATCCCGATGTCACAGCCACATCCAACTACGCAGAAAACTGCGGATCTCACAAAACGCTGCGCCTGTGCAGAGAAATCATCCATACTTCAACATCTTACGTTTCCACACGGTTCCTCGCTATTTCACACGAATCTGACCCGTCACGCTTCCATGCAAAACCCTCTCCACAAGCTTCCCCCAATGGCAGTGCCTTATCGCTCTACCGCGGGCGGTTGCGAACGCTGAGACAACGAGTCGCGAACAAGGCTCTACCCCCAGACCCCCAGAGTGAAACGAGAACCCTTCGCTGCGCATTCGGGAGAAATGCCTTTGATTTGGTGAGCTTGATTTTGCTTCCACTGAAGACTGAAACATCAGGACCCCCTTATAAATGAACATGCAGGGGGGGCACATAATGAATTTTCATTTTTGCTTTCATTTAGGAGGTGTGGTTTGGGGGGGGATGAAACCTGACAAATGTCAATAGTTGGTGGAATTTCACAATTTGATCTGTATACAACTCCCAGATAGGAAAGCAAAGGATAGGAAAGGAAAGGAAAAGGAATGGAAAAAAGGAATGGAAAAAAGGAAAGGAAAATGAAAAAGAACGAAAGGATAAGGAAAAGGAAAAGGAGGGGGCATGCAGGTACGTGAGGTAGCATCAAACTTGTTCGGTTGTGGCAATCCCGGATGAAGAAATGGAGCGATGAGGAAGAAGAGAAGGTAGGATGTTGCAAGTGCCTCGAGTTTTTTCGAGCCACGCGGTGGTGCCTTGTTTTTTTAATTGTGTTTGTGGTGAGGGGAGGGGGTAGAGACAGGTGATAGGTTCGCACGCTTCCACAGCGCTTCTCCTTGCCATAGGTTCGCACTCCAGTCCGAATGCATGTGGTGATCCATCCAGAATCCAGATCTCATGGTCAGAAGTGCCGCTCGGGGAGGCGGTGACTCCCCTGACAGACACCCGAGTGGCTGCACGCTGAAATCGTTTGTCCCATTCGATGAGAAAATGGTCAAATGGTTAGGGGGATGAGATCACCCTGAAATCGTCCCCAGACTCCAATGCTTGGATCGACCTGAAGAAATGTGCCCCGACTCGACTGTGACGCGTCACGTGACGCGGCGAAGCCATCCGCTCAGTCTGGGCACCGCGTTCTTGCTGGGCGGCTTGACGCGGAGCCGAAAGAGGACACCGGCGATCGGTTGGATGTTTACCTTTACGACCCAAAAGAGGGTTTCACCATGTTTCAATTAAGCACAGCCCCAGGAAGAGTATAGGAGAGTGGGGCCACCGGAGGAAAAAAATGAACTCTCTGAACCGTTTCCCATGAACCACGCAAGTCGTGACCCACTTGTGAACCATGTGACCATGAACCATTCTCAGAGGTTGTCGAAAGGATTATATATAACATTTTCTACTTGGGATTTTTCAGCGTTGCGACCTAAGACATGGCCCCCTGGCATGGGTTCCACGGTGTGTTTCGTGGATTTGTAGGCCATGTAATCACAGGGCATTGTGGACCTGTAGATGGCCTGCTCATGCCTTGACACTGCAACTCCCGAAGGGTCAACATGGGCTATGTGTCCAGAAGCAATCATCCAAGACAGTCCATGCATGCTATATATACCTGTTCACTCGAAGTGTACATGTCCGACCGCAGTTGAGTGCTCAAGCAGTGT